TTTTGATCACCATCAAGTCTCATCTCATTATTTCCGAACTTATTTGACTGATTTTCTCGGTCGTACATATTGTCCGGACATTCCATGTACCAATATTAACTGTTGCTCTGGTTGTTAGAAGGGAAATCTGCTTTGTGACTTCTGAAGGATGTGAGCTTTTGTCATGATACTTCACAACCGTTCTCAATGAAAATCCTTCAGTTCCTATGGTAAAGTTCGAATGATTTAAATTGTTTATTCTCGTCAGTGTTGTTTTAGTAATATTTTTTCTACGGGTTGGTGTTAGTGTCCTCATGCTCTAATCTACTCCTTTACTCGTGCATGGATTGGGCATTAACGACAGAGGAGACACCAGAGGAGCTCAAATATATGTGATAAATGTTGATTTTACATATTTCATCATCTATACAATTGTATGGTTTCTTAAAAAACATTCTGGTCTGTTAATTCATTCAACATACTGACTTGACAATGTGTAATACGTTCCAGTATGTAACAACGTCATCATTTAAATATTTTATGATACGTCTGTTTATTATGATGCTTATAATTCACAGAATTAATAACTATGCCTTGTAATCCATTTAGGCTTACCGGTCAGTATTTCATAAAATGTGTTAAATTATAGCAATCTATCAGTTTAGCTCGAAACTATTCGGATTAAGGTTGAGAAACTTGATTTTTTCTTAATACTTAAAAAACCTATTCATTACGGATAGAACCCATGCATGTAAGTTATAACTTTTCAGTTGATTGTTCAATGTACCTTGTTTATACATCCGTTTATCTCTGTGATAAGAATAAACTTGTTAAGATGCTCATATCACTACACTATATCCCCTTATCAACACACACAAACATACATATTTACTTACTTACTTACTTACATAGACATCAACACACATTCACATTGTTTATGGTCACTTATCCCTCTCTCACACACACTCACTCACTCTCTTAGTTCCAGTTTCACGTACCAGACATAATTAATACAATCATTATTTTAACATCCACATATACAAATAAACATACTAACATGATTTAAAGATACCTAGTGATTAAACAGAAACATGAATTCATACATCTACACATGTATAAATAGTAAATATTGAAATTAGTACAAATCAAAGGCCAATGAATGCAAACATGTAAATGTTTGTTTTTTAACCATAACAATAGGTTATAAATAATCAAAGTGTACTGTGAGGGTCAGAACTAGGGTTGGTGATGTTCTAACACATCATTATGTTGAAAGTTGAACGAATATACAATCTATTAATATCAGGAATGTATTTTATGATATTACTAATAAATTTTTAATTTAAACAATTCAGTAACAGATCTGCGTTGAATAACATCATTAATACGGAAACAAATGCTCATCTACTAGATTTAATTTTAATTAAGATAATTAATCACCGAGACTTTATGATCAATAGAATGATAGAAGAATGTTAACCGGAATATTAGTCGTATAAGATTAATTATTAACCAGATCGTCGATTACCAGAGTATAAAACTGATAATAATGAATAAAAGTTAAATTTTTCCAGTTGCATAAAAAGAAAACAATACTGCACATTTTTAATCGATAAATCACCAGTATACGTTAACTGGTGATGACTAAAGATTTGATCGTGACAAAAAATTACAATCCAAATTGTTGTCATCTCCTAGTATTCGTTTACACTAAAGTGTCAAAAATCAAATGTGGACGAATAACAATTCTTACTGAACTACACCAATGATATCATTGAGCTTTGGTCGCCTAATAATATCTTATTAATAACATTTTAGAGGAAGTGAAACTTTTGAAAGGTAATGAATGATTAAATAAATTTTGTATAGAGAAATGGAGCAATCACACCAGTTCTCTTTAACACTGACTGATAGGGGTATTTAAATAAAAGTTTATTTTGAAGTCAAAACTTTCCATTTTACACACAGATATATTTAACACGTCTTCAGTATTCTATACTTGACCAAACAGAAAGTGCGAAATTTGATGTTTTAATGAAAAACTAATGGACAAAGCCAAGCCAAGAAATTTTAAAGTCACAATTGAGATCATGAGCCGATCAATGTTAGACCAACATTGAAAACGTAGAAGTACAAGACGTCTGTTCCTTTCTAGAACAGTATTCCTCAGCAGTCCGCGTTCATGATCCCACATGCAGGATGCGAACCCAGGACAAAGCCCTGAGCGAATGCTTAATTTCTGGGCCACAGAACCAAGGTCTAATGGTGGTTACGTCCACCTAGGACGAAATAGCCGTCCAATGATTCCAGATTTTCAATTGTGATCCAACACTGATCGGTACATGACCGCAATAAAAGCTCAACAATCTCCACAACCCTAAACATGCAGAAAAACACTTGTTGTTGGCTAATTAACGGTAGATGTTTGATAACATTGTCGTGAGTGTAGTAGATTCATTAGTGGACTTAGCTTACAATCCTTTTATAGTGAGATAATTGGCAAAGAATATGATTCAGAATGTTGTCGAGCCTCATCACTTAGCACCATGCTGCATACGTATTGTATTAAAAAAGTGGAATACAAGATTCGTTAGTGTAAACAATCTAGTATTAATTTCAAGGGTAGGATGATTTCAGAATACAGAATCCAATGAACCAACTGACTGATAAAATGTTTCAAGTAACTGTGTGGACAGGAGAACATTATGGAAACTTCTTCGACACTATGGAGTTCCATAGAAGATTGTCTATGTTATCCGGAACTCATACGACGGACTACAGTGCAAAATCGTTTATGGAGGACAGCTGACAGATGCATTTCCAGTAAGGACCGGAGTCAGACAAGGCTGTATACTCTCCCTCTTCCTTTTTCTCCTGGTGGTCGATTGGATTATGAAGACTTCATCATCTGACGGGAAGCACGGAATACAATGGACAGCTCAGAATAAATTAGATGATTTGCACTTCTCAGATGACCTAGCCATTCTATCTCATACATACGAACAAATACAGACGAAGACAACCAGTGTAGCAGCAGCCTCTGCATCAATAGGCCTCAACACACACAAAGGATAAGACAAGATCCTCAAATACAACACAGAGAACACCAACCCAATCACACTTGATGGAGAAACTCAGGAAGATGTGGAATCTTTCACGTATCCGGACTGCACCATCGATAAATTAGGGGAATCGGATGCAGATATAAATGTAAGGATTGGCAAAGCAACAACAGCATTTCTACAATTGAAGAATATATGGAACTCAAACAACTGTATGCAAGCCAACATAAAAGTCACATTCTTCAATACGAACATCAACACAGTTCTATTGTACGCAGATGAAACGTGCAGAACTACTACAATCATCATCAAAACGTACAAGTGTTTATAAACAATTGTCTACACAAGATACTCAATGTTTGTTGGCCGGATACCACCAGCAGCAGCCTACTGTATGAGAGAACAAACCAACTTCCATCTGAAGAGGAAATTAGGAAGAGACGTTGGAGGTGGATAGGACATATATTGAAAAAAAATTCATGAGACTGCATCACGAGGCAAGCCCCAATAGGAAATCGTGAAGGGAAGCGGAAAAGAGGAAGGTCGAAAAACACATTACGCCGTGAAATAGAAGCAGGTATGAAAAAGGATTAATGTTAACTGGAAAGGATTGCCCAGGACAGCGTTGGACGGAGAGTGCTGGTGTGTGGCCTATGCTCCTCCACAAGGAGTAAGTGGCGTTAGTAAGTAATCGGATGCTAACGATAATTCAATGATTACAGCTATCTGAGATTATTTAATCTATCAAAATTATACGATTATACATGTAATATTTGATTGATTAATCTAAATCAATGCATAATATGCATATTCGATTACTTTCGATTAACTTTCAACATTTTATTATAAATCATAATAACTAAATATGGATAAGTGGTTTAATGTTATAATTACATACAAGGCTGAAGCTCAGTTAAAGTCAAAACCAATATAACAGTTAAAGTGAAGGTTTTATAATTTATGAATATCGAAATGAATGTAAATGAATGTTTGAATAAACTAAGATGAAATGACAATAAAAGTGAATGCTAAACGCCTTCAATATTTAAATGTAAACACGAGGATATGTCAGGGAAACAAAGGACAACAAAAGAGAAAATTAAGCATAAACCGACATTTCTAGAATATGATAATTTCATTTTACGAGAAAAATGCAACAACAAAAAGTAATCCTTTTTAAAAAGAAATATTATTACTCTAAACTTCTAATTAACCAGATTCTAGAAAATTGAATCTTTTACAATGTTCTCCCTGTTTTACATTTGCTTAGAAAACTGATGAACTATGATAATCGACTAGTTTATGCATACGACATTACTAAACACACAATCTAACATAATGAGACATTTAAAATTTTATGGTTATATATGAAATAATTTGCAACCTATAAAAAACAGAATATGTCTTAAATCAGATATGTGAATTCAGCTAATAAACCTGATATGAATAAGTGACAATACGTTGAACAAATTTCAAGCATTATAGAAAAACAACTTGTAGGGCCAGTGAAATGTTACTGAGTCCTAGCCAAATTATCCGGAAGTTAAGTCAGTGAATATCGAACAGTTCATCAATCTCCGATAAATGTAAGGACAACCAACACGCATCAGTTAATCGTATGCCGTGGACTGGACCATGCGGTGGTAGTCACAATGTCGCTTGTAATTACTGTAAGAGATATATTTCTGTAATAAAGTCGTTTGTGTTATACGGTCTTCAAAGCAGAAATAGTACCTTGATTTGTTGAAGAAGTAATCTAATTCAGGTGCTGACCGCGAGGTGTGACTTCGAAGTTAGCTGTTTCTCACACCAATACCTTCTAACTCGAGTAGTCGCCCAATCAGTCAACATAAATAATCCACGTTAAAGATCTACAAACTGATACACACTTAATCATCAAATAATATTATAATGAGAGAAAATCAAAAAGTGAACAGCGAAGTAAACTTTTTTAAACAGGAGAGATTATCTTTCTAAACTCCTTTCGTTTTCGCATAAAGAAATATCAATACATAATAATTCAATAGAACTAGAAAAATACACCTGCAAGTTAGAAGAGAAGGAACACTGAATAAAATAATAAACTATAATTTCAGCACAATATTAAACTCAACTACATGAATTTATTCATGAATTCTATTCATATCCCATGAGAGCATCATTACAATTCGTGACATTCGAATCACACATCAGTTAATTGCAATGTACCACTAAATTAAACACATCACTACATTAAAACAAACACTAATAATTAGCACGTTTCAACAAGACATATCTACACTAATGAACATGACATGAAAACAAATCAATGTGGTGATGATGATGATCCACATATTTTGGTAGATGGCATTCTTTGTTTTACTGGTTAGCATTGAATCAGTAACAATTTCTGTTTGTAAACACAACCACGTCTCCCCATTCCATGAGAGCATGTTTAGTGTTGTGAACACATGGAGATGCATAAGAAGATTTCCAATATATCACCGGATCACTTTCTCTTATTGTTCTATGGGATTTGACAACGACAACTGACACTTAAATGAACCACATTTTCTACCAGTTCATGGAATACTGTGCATCATAAATTATACATCGAATCATTCGGATTCATGCATGTATTTAGTTAGCCGTGTTCTATGAACGCTGACTGACAAGTGATTGTTGATGAATATGCGCGAATCATAAATTAAATTTGATGATGAATATACCATGGTATAAAGGGTAAAACCAAACAATATTCAACACCAATCACATCAACAATCCGAACTGCTCTTACTAGATATTCACCAACGATACGATACTTATTGGAGATTCTACACAAATGTATATCACATAAAATAATAAATCACAAACCAGTACAACTTCACATGTCGGCATGTACACACAGATATCAACACTGGTTCTGGTCGAATAAACCAAGTGTAATGGTAACCAGACAAACCACACAGATTCTTCATCTCAATCCAATCAATCAATCAGATCATCTCTCATTCTAATCGATATCTCTCTTAATGTGCTTCGTTAACACACTCCATGCACAAAGAAATCCGATTTCATCACAATAAAAATCACGGATATTAGACAACAATCATGTTCACTCACAAAACGAATTATGTAGTCCAGTGATTAAATCCATCAAATTATACAGGTTCCACACACAATCAGATCTAATCATATCTATCATTACAATATCGAGATAAATCCCACCCAATTCCAATAAAATCACTCACAATCAATTCACTTCTATTACTGTTAATTTCCATGCCTACTATATCGAATTCCATTGAACGATAGGAAATCAGGTCGAGCCAATTTATATTGATTATACTAATCGAATATAAGCTGGTGAGACAGATGTTGAAATCAATTCACTCACTTGTATCGCGTTATCATTTCACATATCTTAGATGGTATTCCAATCATAATTATGTTCAAGTCTTCTTTTCTCTTTGTATTTTCTCACAAATTAGACGAGTCACACAAACATTATATTGCAGTTTTATGACACGCCTCATTTGAGATATTATGCCAGAAATTTATGTCATCCACAAATTGTTTTACCCACATTTTGAAAGATAACAGAGAAAGAACACTCTCCACACTACATATGTGAATGTCATCAGTTTGGTTTCTATGTGACAGAAACTCGTCTCTGTGTGTGAGAGAGAGGGTGTGTATTTGTGTGTGTGTGTGTGTATCTATGTAAATTGAAAATTCTACCAATGTTAAATTTATTTATTATTCGACCGAAAGTGCAATATTGTTAATCATAAACGTTCAGTGTAATGATGATTTTGAATTTTGACCTTTATCTAATTAGTGTTCGATTGAGGTGACATTACTATTTTGATTATCTTTTTGAATAAATTGATCGTGTATTGATGATTGTTGTCATAATGTTATACTGATCATGTAACAAATAATGACGAGGAAATAAAATACATCATTGATATAAAAATTTTCGGATTACTTTGAACCATTAATGCATGGCCTTGAGTTATATTGAAGCACCGATTTTTTGGTTTGTATGTTTTTGATTAATCAGTAAATGTATGCGTTCGGCTTTAATTTTTAAACGTACATGCAACCGATCATCTGCTCATAAAATTAGTCTTTATGTTGAGCTGCAACTAATCAGATTACTTTTCGTACATCTGCCTAATTTGGTTTGTCGATAGGCTTTTCAATAGACAGAAACAAATATTATTGCCTGCCTTTCATGCATCTATTCTACGTAACTAATACTCATTTCCAGGTACTTTTTGTACATCTAGAATGTGCAATTGATCATTATTTGTTTATCTGGTATAAAAATGAATGGTGTGGAAAAAAGTTAATTGGAACAAAATATGGGAATCAGTGTTGAAATGAAAAACTTTAAATTCAGAGAAACGAATGACTTCATATGAAAATTGAATGCAGTTAACTACACATGTTGTTTTATGTCTCATCCATAGATCTAAAATTTTACCAGAAGAATCAGTTCAAAATAAAGAAGTCTGCAGATTTTAACTACAGACTTTCAAATATTGGGAGATAGCTCGGAAAATATTCTCCGGCTAAATTATTCCACATGAGACATAAATCGTAATAAAGTTCTAGGCTTAAATAAAATGGTTCCGTATAATGTTGCTTGAGATATAAATAACGTTTATACACCTAAAAATTACAGAATAATAGGACTTTTTTATTTAAACAATAAAACAGATTCCACAGAAATAATGTGCATCTTTTACCATTCGCTAGCATCGATCTCAGTGTTACTTATTTATTTGAAAAAGATAACATAACTTCATTCAACAGTTCAACTATTCAGTATATTTTCATTTATTCATTTAGAAACTATATTGAATGCATTACAAAAGGTAAATTCTTCCAAAATAACATGTCTCCATAATCTGCATTAAATACTAATAAATCTGTTTCCAGTCACTCAGTTTCGCCTTCCCTTAATAAATAAATGTTGATCAAATGGAATTATCATTATCATCATTATTATTATTACTATTTTGTATTTTTATTATTGTCATTATTAATAGTATTGTTGAAAATTCCATCCTGTCTATCACCAGTGTGGTGTGTTCAACCATAAATCTTTATTCACTACTTATTATTAATATGGTAAATCATGGTGTTGGAAGAAAATACCATTATCTCTTGCACGTAGATAGATTTGTCCATTAGACTAACATGAAAAATATGTGAGTGTCTGTAGATTCAATTCACAGATAAACAAGTCAGTAGTCAATTATCTGACATTGACCAAGTTCAATATTACTCCTTTCCGACTATTCATGTGTTCATGGAGTTGTGAATTTCAATAATTTGAAAGTGAAATATTGTATTTTGTTAGAGATAAGTAGACAAAAGAAACGAGATATTTCATTTGCGTAGCCATTTGATTGGCTTAGATGATGGAAATAATTGTTGTTTCTTGAATGTATCGAATAGATGAGTAGTTTGGAAATTCCAATCTACGAAGAAGAGTTGGATAAACAAAAGTGTTTGTGTTGAGTAAAATACACAATGTACAGGTGAATATAGAGATATGACAGATGTATATAGATTACACATTCATACCACTATTTAGAAAATTTGTTGAATATGAACTATAATGTGTATTCTTTAACTTTTTGTATGGAATAAAGAAGTTAGTTGGATATTTATGTTGTCTGTCGACTACTACTTCAAATAGACTAATTGTATTATTAAAAATTTCCCTGATCTCCTAGTAAAGCGTAGAAGCCAACATTTTAAATGATTCATATTAATTGTTAAACAGTTTATGGTTAAAGTATAATCACATAAACATTGGATATTGATGTTGTCTGTCGACTACTACTTCGAATAGACTAATTTTATTACGAAAAATGTCACTGATCTGCTAGTTCATTATTGTTAATATCAATGACCCAACTACACATAATACTTTTTATACTCAGTTAAATCTGTTATATAATAGTATTCCCATTTCTGCACTACAAAAGTCAGGAAATCATACTACTCATGAGTAGTATGGATTACTATCTGACTTTTCATTCCGTTTGTAATGTCATGTCTTCAACTTTCAGATATCAGCGTTAGGTTTGGAATTATCATTTACTGTAGCTTTCATTTGTGTAAATCTTCCCCACAAACAATCCGTCATATATGTGAATTATGCAAAACTACGTATTTCGTGTAGTGGTTTCGCTGATGTTTCGATTTATTCAGGTTTTTTCATCTGTGTTACGCTGAGTGTTTGCACTGTTTTTGCAAACTGGGTTGTATCTTTATTACTGTGTTATTACAAAACCATTGTTACTACTTCCATGTTTTTTTGTATTTTATGTTCTCAACCATTCTTCGTCTAATTGCTTCTCTGCTGGATGTTGACAGTGGTCATGCTGTCTTTGCCTACGATTCGCATCTTGCTTATAGCTTCTAGGTATAGGAATTAGTATAAAGTAATAGCTAAATAAAACAAATGTTAATCTAAGGGAAATATGAATTTTAATATGACACTATTTGGTAAGATAACTTTATTTTCTTAATTTACATTAAAGTACATTAAGATTTGATTCTGACATCAGATTACTTAGACAATTCTGTACACATTTGTCTTCATTGTTGTTGCCTTTAGACCCGCGAATTCTCTAGCGTATATACGAATTGTTCCCGATCCTAGGTTCAATTATCATACCATTTCCCATCTTTATCGCCAAGCCATTCGACCTTAACTTCATCTCAACATATGGCTTCAGCTACTTCCATACATATATCCAAATAGAGGTTGAATAATTTGAGATCCTGATCAAAATATTACCAATCAAGTATTCAGGAAACTGTAATCCCCCATGTCTTGACATTTATTTATGTCTGAATCAGGATCTTGTTTTGCATCAGTCTAACGACAATTAATCTGCGATTTCACGCGACCATCTTTGAAGATTAGATAAGGATTACCAAATATACGGAAACTTACAAAATCACCACGGAAACCCAAGCTGCGTGTCATAATGAACGAATTTCATATTGAATTGATGCAAATAGTGTTATATTGAATAAACATTACGCAAATAAAATTAGCGTTATTCTGAAAGAAATGTCACACTGGGAAATGAAACTAATATTTCACTTAGAATTTATCGTGCTGAATTAAAAACGGAAGTAGTGTTGAACAAAAATCACACTGATTTAAATGGTGCTCTAACCTTTTAATCAGGTCCTTAATGCAATTTAATGATGGAAAACAATTTTTGCATTTACAGCAGTTTTTTTATTTACATTCTTCTTGATATTTGTATCAGGTCACACTTCTGAACGCATTAATTTGTCTAAAGAATAATGAACACACATTCAATAATATAATTTACCATTGAAGAAATAATAACGCTAAATGGAAGTGACGATGGATTAGTTTAACGGTATTTAAGAAAGTATCAAATAATACATAATGAAAAAGAATATGATACGGAATCTGCAGTCTAGGGAAAAAAGTCACGAAAAGTTCACAAGTGTTTTATTACAGTACTTATCAACAAATTGAATATTTAGAAAAAGAGTCCTGGGTTCGAATCTCTCGAGGCGAGGTCGTGGATGCGCACTGATGAGGAATCCCACAAAGGAACGAAACGGTTGTCCAGTGCTTCCAGGTTTTCCCTGGTGGTCTAGCTTCAATTGACTCACACTTTCAACTATGAAAATAATAAATCTCCCCGAAAAAACCTTCTGAAGCAAAAGAGTGTTGAAAGAAGTGTTTTTTTTTCAATTAGAGATACATTAACGTATAAATTTTACAATTAAGAATGAAATCAATACTAAATAAGTGATGGTTGGTTAATGTAACCACGTATTTCAATGTTTTATATAAAGCAGTAATCAGTTTTAAAATTTTTTTTGCAAAATTCGATTGGATTCAATTGAATATTTTTCTTAAAATAAATGTTTTTTTTATTAGTTCTTTGTCATGGTGACTAAACGATGATCATAAATCAGGCATTTTTTAAAATAGTTTTCATGAGAATGCTTATAAACTGAATGGAAGTGATCACTGTGCTATAAAGAGCACGTTTTATATGTTATGAAGTGGTAACTAATTGAAAAAACATTTCCAAAATTATTAGGCACACGAATAATAATAATAGAATTGTTTAATATTTAATGAATCTATTTAGAAAATTAAACTTCATTAGGATATAAGGTAGACAAAGGAAATCAATTTATCCTAAAAACGTGATTCTAATCATATATATTAAGGAATGATGACCTAATTTGATTCGGTTTTCAATTCTAAGGGGAAGAAATCGAATGTATTGTTTTTAGCTAAGATACTTTGTACTAAAAGATGGGTCCAGATCATTGCATACTTCAAAGTCTTAGAATCAAATCATATATCCAAAGGATTTTCCTCTTTTGTAGTTTAATAATTTAGTCAAGATTAAAGTCTAATTGATTTGCTTATAATTGTAGCACACTTTATTAAAACTGACAGTTGAACATTGTTAAACGCTTATTTCTTTTTTTGTTTGAAAATGATTCACAATAGTAGTTATAAAACTGAAAAATTCGTCAGTTGTTAATAAACAGAAATTAGTCGAATCCACAGAAGTTTCCTTTGTTTCTTTGAATTCGAAAGTACTTATTAACTCCATTCTATGATAGAGTTTCATCTAGAAAATAATATAAATAATTCATGAATATATGAATATGTAACATATATTCTGAAGCTTAGTATTAATTTGAATTCACCTAAGGTAGGTAAAAAGAATTATTAAAAATATGGAAGTAAGGTTTATATGATCTATCAGGTAAAGTTATTGATGATTCAACGTATTGTTTTATATATCTTATTCATAAATATATTTATATTACTGATGAATTCCTAATACTCAGGTGAATGTTATTATTTTGAGAACAAAACATATGCACAATGATTGTATTAAAGAGAGAAATCTTAGCCTCGTAACCGGGTTGTATTCAGCAATCTTAGCAGTGATTCCAGAGCTTAACCAATATGTAACAGGTCTGAAACATATCCACCTATTTTATTTGGGCCAGCCAGATGGTAACCAAATCAAGTTAATCGGTTTGCTTTATGTAAGAGTTAAATACGATATCGTTAACATCAGAATGATTTCATCTTGATAAACTTGTGTGACAGTAATTAAATCTACTTAATTCAGACAAATGAATCTATCAAAACATAATAGTGACTTCGTTAGATTTTCTATTTCCTTTTAATAAAAAATGGAATTGTACACAGAAATATCAATTGCTTCAGTAGTAATGAACTATAAAAATCGATGGCGAAATTTATTCATTAATCAACTTGCTACTATGATGAATTCAAAATTATAACACACAAAACAAATGGTTCCTTTTTGAAATGAATGACCTACAGACCAAAAAAGGTAAAATGTTTTATCATAAATTGAAACTCTACCTGTCCATTCAATACAATTAGAAAACGGGATAAAACAATTAAAGATAATGAGTTGATATCTCCCAACAGACCTGGTTGAACTCCAGTGGTTAGTGCTTCTCACTATAACTCCAGGAAATACCTCATAAAGCCAGTCACTAGTGAGCATATGAGATATCAACTCACTGAAAACAATGGTGAATAGTTGCTCAATTTCGTTGATTGGTTGAAGTTAGACATTAACACCGTTGGATGACGGCTTAGCGGTCTATCGGTTAAGTGCTCTGGCGCGAGACTGGTAGGTCCTAAGTTCGAATCTCTTGAGGCGGGATTGTGGATACGCACTGCTGAGGAGTCCCTCAATAGGACGAAACGGCCGTCAGTACTTCCATGATTTCCATGGTGGTCTTGCTTCGATTAACTCATGATCTCAACTATATAAAATTAACGATAGATTTATCGTGAACATTTCAATACAATGACATTCAAATAACCATGAACTAGGATACGTTAGATTGGTTTTCAGTTCAGCATTAAACTAAAAGCATTGACCTTCATCTTGAAACCGACGAAAGGCTAGGGAATTAATTGTAGAAGATAGATTTCATTAATGTAGTAAAAATTGTTGATTTTACTAAAAAAAAATTATGTACGAACCAGTTATATATAACAAAAAATAACCAACTGATCAATCCAAAAGTGCAATGACAATGATGTATTTTATTTCCTCGTCATTATTTGTTACATGATCAGTATAACATTATGACAACAATCATCAATACACGATCAATTTATTCAAAAAGATAATCAAAATAGTAATGTCACCTCAATCGAACACTAATTAGATAAAGGTCAAAATTCAAAATCATCATTACACTGAACGTTTATGATTAACAATATTGCACTTTCGGTCGAATAATAAATAAATTTAACATTGGTAGAATTTTCAATTTACATAGATACACACACACACACACAAATACACACCCTCTCTCTCACACACAGAGACGAGTTTCTGTCACATAGAAACCAAACTGATGACATTCACATATGTAGTGTGGAGAGTGTTCTTTCTCTGTTATCTTTCAAAATGTGGGTAAAACAATTTGTGGATGACATAAATTTCTGGCATAATATCTCAAATGAGGCGTGTCATAAAACTGCAATATAATGTTTGTGTGACTCGTCTAATTTGTGAGAAAATACAAAGAGAAAAGAAGACTTGAACATAATTATGATTGGAATACCATCTAAGATATGTGAAATGATAACGCGATACAAGTGAGTGAATTGATTTCAACATCTGTCTCACCAGCTTATATTCGATTAGTATAATCAATATAAATTGGCTCGACCTGATTTCCTATCGTTCAATGGAATTCGATATAGTAGGCATGGAAATTAACAGTAATAGAAGTGAATTGATTGTGAGTGATTTTATTGGAATTGGGTGGGATTTATCTCGATATTGTAATGATAGATATGATTAGATCTGATTGTGTGTGGAACCTGTATAATTTGATGGATTTAATCACTGGACTACATAATTCGTTTTGTGAGTGAACATGATTGTTGTCTAATATCCGTGATTTTTATTGTGATGAAATCGGATTTCTTTGTGCATGGAGTGTGTTAACGAAGCACATTAAGAGAGATATCGATTAGAATGAGAGATGATCTGATTGATTGATTGGATTGAGATGAAGAATCTGTGTGGTTTGTCTGGTTACCATTACACTTGGTTTATTCGACCAGAACCAGTGTTGATATCTGTGTGTACATGCCGACATGTGAAGTTGTACTGGTTTGTGATTTATTATTTTATGTGATATACATTTGTGTAGAATCTCCAATAAGTATCGTATCGTTGGTGAATATCTAGTAAGAGCAGTTCGGATTGTTGATGTGATTGGTGTTGAATATTGTTTGGTTTTACCCTTTATACCATGGTATATTCATCATCAAATTTAATTTATGATTCGCGCATATTCATCAACAATCACTTGTCAGTCAGCGTTCATAGAACACGGCTAACTAAATACATGCATGAATCCGAATGATTCGATGTATAATTTATGATGCACAGTATTCCATGAACTGGTAGAAAATGTGGTTCATTTAAGTGTCAGTTGTCGTTGTCAAATCCCATAGAACAATAAGAGAAAGTGATCCGGTGATATATTGGAAATCTTCTTATGCATCTCCATGTGTTCACAACACTAAACATGCTCTCATGGAATGGGGAGACGTGGTTGTGTTTACAAACAGAAATTGTTACTGATTCAATGCTAACCAGTAAAACAAAGAATGCCATCTACCAAAATATGTGGATCATCATCATCACCACATTGATTTGTTTTCATGTCATGTTCATTAGTGTAGATATGTCTTGTTGAAACGTGCTAATTATTAGTGTTTGTTTTAATGTAGTGATGTGTTTAATTTAGTGGTACATTGCAATTAACTGATGTGTGATTCGAATGTCACGAATTGTAATGATGCTCTCATGGGATATGAATAGAATTCATGAATAAATTCATGTAGTTGAGTTTAATATTGTGCTGAAATTATAGTTTATTATTTTATTCAGTGTTCCTTCTCTTCTAACTTGCAGGTGTATTTTTCTAGTTCTATTGAATTATTATGTATTGATATTTCTTTATGCGAAAACGAAAGGAGTTTAGAAAGATAATCTCTCCTGTTTAAAAAAGTTTACTTCGCTGTTCACTTTTTGATTTTCTCTCATTATAATATTATTTGATGATTAAGTGTGTATCAGTTTGTAGATCTTTAACGTGGATTATTTATGTTGACTGATTGGGCGACTACTCGAGTTAGAAGGTATTGGTGTGAGAAACAGCTAACTTCGAAGTCACACCTCGCGGTCAGCACCTGAATTAGATTACTTCTTCAACAAATCAAGGTACTATTTCTGCTTTGAAGACCGTATAACACAAACGACTTTATTACAGAAATATATCTCTTACAGTAATTACAAGCGACATTGTGACTACCACCGCATGGTCCAGTCCACGGCATACGATTAACTGATGCGTGTTGGTTGTCCTTACATTTATCGGAGATTGATGAACTGTTCGATATTCACTGACTTAACTTCCGGATAATTTGGCTAGGACTCAGTAACATTTCACTGGCCCTACAAGTTGTTTTTCTATAATGCTTGAAATTTGTTCAACGTATTGTCACTTATTCATATCAGGTTTATTAGCTGAATTCACATATCTGATTTAAGACATATTCTGTTTTTTATAGGTTGCAAATTATTTCATATATAACCATAAAATTTTAAATGTCTCATTATGTTAGATTGTGTGTTTAGTAATGTCGTATGCATAAACTAGTCGATTATCATAGTTCATCAGTTTTCTAAGCAAATGTAAAACAGGGAGAACATTGTAAAAGATTCAATTTTCTAGAATCTGGTTAATTAGAAGTTTAGAGTAATAATATTTCTTTTTAAAAAGGATTACTTTTTGTTGTTGCATTTTTCTCGTAAAATGAAATTATCATATTCTAGAAATGTCGGTTTATGCTTAATTTTCTCTTTTGTTGTCCTTTGTTTCCCTGACATATCCTCGTGTTTACATTTAAATATTGAAGGCGTTTAGCATTCACTTTTATTGTCATTTCATCTTAGTTTATTCAAACATTCATTTACATTCATTTCGATATTCATAAATTATAAAACCTTCACTTTAACTGTTATATTGGTTTTGACTTTAACTGAGCTTCAGCCTTGTATGTAATTATAACATTAAACCACTTATCCATATTTAGTTATTATGATTTATAATAAAATGTTGAAAGTTAATCGAAAGTAATCGAATATGCATATTATGCATTGATTTAGATTAATCAATCAAATATTACATGTATAATCGTATAATTTTGATAGATTAAATAATCTCAGATAGCTGTAATCATTGAATTATCGTTAGCATCCGATTACTTACTAACGCCACTTACTCCTTGTGGAGGAGCATAGGCCACACACCAGCACTCTCCGTCCAACGCTGTCCTGGGCAATCCTTTCCAGTTAACATTAATCCTTTTTCATACCTGCTTCTATTTCACGGCGTAATGTGTTTTTCGACCTTCCTCTTTTCCGCTTCCCTTCACGATTTCCTATTGGGGCTTGCCTCGTGATGCAGTCTCATGAATTTTTTTTCAATATATGTCCTATCCACCTCCAACGTCTCTTCCTAATTTCCTCTTCAGATGGAAGTTGGTTTGTTCTCTCATACAGTAGGCTGCTGCTGGTGGTATCCGGCCAACAAACATTGAGTATCTTGTGTAGACAATTGTTTATAAACACTTGTACGTTTTGATGATGATTGTAGTAGTTCTGCACGTTTCATCTGCGTACAATAGAACTGTGTTGATGTTCGTATTGAAGAATGTGACTTTTATGTTGGCTTGCATACAGTTGTTTGAGTTCCATATATTCTTCAATTGTAGAAATGCTGTTGTTGCTTTGCCAATCCTTACATTTATATCTGCATCCGATTCCCCTAATTTATCGATGGTGCAGTCCGGATACGTGAAAGATTCCACATCTTCCTGAGTTTCTCCATCAAGTGTGATTGGGTTGGTGTTCTCTGTGTTGTATTTGAGGATCTTGTCTTATCCTTTGTGTGTGTTGAGGCCTATTGATGCAGAGGCTGCTGCTACACTGGTTGTCTTCGTCTGTATTTGTTCGTATGTATGAGATAGAATGGCTAGGTCATCTGAGAAGTGCAAATCATCTAATTTATTCTGAGCTGTCCATTGTATTCCGTGCTTCCCGTCAGATGATGAAGTCTTCATAATCCAATCGACCACCAGGAGAAAAAGGAAGAGGGAGAGTATACAGCCTTGTCTGACTCCGGTCCTTACTGGAAATGCATCTGTCAGCTGTCCTCCATAAACGATTTTGCACTGTAGTCCGTCGTATGAGTTCCGGATAACATAGACAATCTTCTATGGAACTCCATAGTGTCGAAGAAGTTTCCATAATGTTCTCCTGTCCACACTGTCAAACGCCTTCTCATAGTCGATGAAGTTGACGTATAGTGATGCGTTCCACTCAACTGATTGTTCCATGATTATCCATAGTGTCACAATTTGGTCTGTGCACGACCGATCCTTCCGGAATCCAGCCTGTTGATCTCGAAGTTGGGTATCTACTGCGTCTTTCATCCGGTTCAGCAACACTCTGTTGAAAACTTTTTCCGGCACTGACAGCAGTATGATGCCTCTGTAATTCTCACATTTGCTCAGATCGCCTTTCTTTGGTATCTTGATGAGGTATGCTTCTTTCCAGTCTGTTGGCACTTGTTCCTCTTCCCAAATCTTTTTGAATAGAAAGTGAAGCATGTTTGTTGTTATTTCAGTGTCTGACTTCAGTGCTTCAGCTGGTACATTGTCACGTCCTACTGCTTTCCCATTCTTGATTTGTCTGATTGCCATCCTGGTAGTGTGAAATCTATAGTAAGGTCTGTGTGTGCTGATACGATGTCTGGTGGATTAGATGGAGCTGGTCTATTCAGCAGATGCTCAAAATATTCTGCCCATCTTTTCCTCTGTTCTTGAATCTCCGTGATTGTCTTCCCTCCTTTGTCCTTGACTGGTTTATTATATCTCCCTGCTAGTTTCTTCGGTGTATCATATAGTTGTTTCATATTATTTTCTCTTTCAGCCTTTTCTGCCGTCGTTGCTAGTTTATCTATGCATTTCTACTTGTCAGCTTCAATGCTCTTCTTCACTTGCTTGTTTGCTTCTGAGTAGTATGTTTGTGCCTTGACTTTCTCTGCTCGTGTTCGGCTGTCGTTAATTGCTGTCTTCTTGTTTTTCCTTTCTTGAATCTTGTCCAGGGTTCCCATAGAGATTCGATTACTGCATAGCATATCTAATTTACATCACAGAACACTTTAGAAGTTATTCAAAGATTAGTAAACATATAATACCAGTTTATAGTTCGCTAAAACTAACTATTCATACACAGGTCTTTAATTCTTATATTCACTATGATACTACATTTAAAGTACTTTTATATTAGAATTTTCTCAATAACTTTGTATCAGATTTGTTTATTGGTCTTTACCGTGGAAATCATATGATTTCTTGATGATCTCAAAAGTTTAAGCAATACAATTCGAATCAGAGAGTTGAAGAAAGGTCTCATTTTTTATTAAATACATTGTATTATGGACTACAGTAGATTATAGACTAAGATGTATGTATATCTCAATAATTCTTCAGTGAGTCGATCCTTTTTTTCAATGTCCTTGTAGAATTGATGTGGCTGGTATATTTCTTAACTGACCAGAGATTATAGTTTTCTCATCTGAATAGCTTGCTAGTTCCTCCTATAATAAAGTATTATTTCATACTCAACTATAATTGTAATATGAACTCATACTTTAAT